GATTGTATCGTTCACTTTTGTGTCTATAATAAAGCTATCTGTCCAAGCTACTGGATCTAATCGAGAGGCAAGAGAAGATATAAAAACAGAGGGAGCCAGGTTTGTTTGAATGTTTGGAAACAGACGCAAATAAAACATGAATATGTTTGACAAACAGCGAGAGAAGTATGGAGTCTCTCTGCAGACCCGTGTTTTTAGACCCGTGTCGACAAAGGCTCCAGTGGCTTCTTGCTCACTCCTGTTTGGACTTGGAGAGATCTTCCTGCCCCAAGAGACAGGATCTGTTTACTATCAGTATATAGGAGCAGTGGCTCTGCACAGAGCTCCTCTCATGGAAGTTCACCATATTTTCCCCTAAAGACATGGAACACATGAACCCTCGAGGTCAGAGCCGGTGATAAAACCACTGCATGTAAACAAGGTTCATGGGGACTTAGTGTTTCTTACATTGAGCGTTGAACAGATCAACTTTGGTGACTAATAATCTGTCGTCAACTGAACACATTGTTTCAGTTAAACTTGCAAGTTGTAATATAAAATAGCTCACAGGAAAAATGATAAAATAGAATAATGGGAGAACCCTTTCTTCTTTCTTCTTTTTTTCTTTTCAAAGTTGTGCTTCACTTGTGTGCCACCAATGAGGATCATATTGTCCCTGTTGACATTTTGTTATTCTAAAGAGGATTTGGGAAGTCTTATGAAAATGTTTTGTTGCAAAGCATTGTGTTGCATGACTGAGCTCCCAAACAAAGAACATGTGTCCAAAACAATGTAGCGCACCGTATTGCATGACAGATTTCTTACAGACGGACCGTGGCCAGCAGTTCCAGAGACCACCTGGAGGTATTTAGGGCCCATTCAGACTATTTGACTTAACTCCGCTCTAATAGTCAACAGGAGCATCCCTTCTGGAGGCTGCTGACAATGGATCATATTTCTCCACTTTTATGCATCACATTATTCGATGCTAAAGAAATGGAGCTCAACGCCCCCCGCCCTGTGGTCCCCCGGCTCCCAAAGAGAAAGTCCCCATAATGGTTTGGAAACACGTTTTAGGCACAAAGTTGGTTTTTAATAACCATAGTGCTGGTTGTTGTCAGCACATAAAGCTCATCTCAACACTTGTCAAAAAGTGTTCATAGTGTTTTGATCGATAATATTTCATTTCATTTCAGAAACTGATTCTGGATAATATAATATCTAGCTAAATACGTCGGGACTTGATCAATATGACAGTTATAATTCCAGGTGCCTCAGAGAGATGGCTGTGGCAGAAACTGGCCTCATTTTTTATTTTTTTTTTACAATATATTATACTATAAGTTAATCTGTAAGTACTATTTAATGTTAGCATGAATGCAATCTTCACTTCAGACTCTACACAGCTATACTTAAAAATTTAAGTTCTTGCCCCAACAAACCTCGATATCATGATAGGTCAAACCCCCAAACCTCTTATTTTGTGCAGAACAGACTCAGAATGACACAATATTTCACTCAAGAAATCAATTTATTTTATATTCACTCCAAAAAAACCACCATCGGAAAAGAGACCCCGGTACATCATTGTCCTTCAACTTGAATGCATCCTTCATGGCAGTGTAAATATGGACGGCCTTCTGGGAAACTGCTGTCCCACTGGAGTTCATACACTCAATAATTTACAGCAAGGCGCTTTGTGGAAAAGGCACAATGTGGTTTAGGAAAAAAAAGGAAAGTTAAACAACAAAAAGCTGCATAGGAGTTAGAAAAGCATGTTAACTCTGTCAAAGTCATCACAGGCGACATCATAATACATCATTGGCTTGTCTCCAGACATCATTTGACAAATTAGAACACACAAAAAAGAGTCTTTACAAGCCAAACAACAGCCTCAGCTATTGCTCGTTTTCATTCACACAATAGAATATCATAACTGCTTCATTTCAGTAGTATCACAATGGACAGCGCGGCGTCATGGCAACAAGCAGCGGTCCAAAAGTTACACAAACATACTGTACGTCCATTTAGGCCAATCGTGTCGCGCGATTGGACATTGGGACGGTCACCCCTGTAATAGTTATTGGAGTAGTTTAATATTGACCATGTTTATGCTTCATTATTGTGCAAAAGTCCAGAAACTAACATTAAATCTGCATATTTGATGAAACTGTGTAAAAAGATGTATCTCAGCAAACATATTATCTATTCACTAATGGGTGTTATTAAAAATGGATAACAAGAGACGGAAGAATAGAGGCATTTTAAATAATGTTTCCAAAATCAAAAAAACTTTAATTTATGGTTTGGTCTTGTTCTTTTCATGTTTCTGGATCATTTACAGTACTCGCTGGACTAGTCAGTGCACATGTTTATAAAGAATTTAAAGAGCAAGTACATGTTGTCTGTATATAAGCCACACTTGAATATAAGCCATAGTTTTTCATGTTGTAATGTAACACACAAAACAACAATATTCATGACTGGTTCTGGATCTAACGGGGAAGATATGAGACTGAAATGTTTTAACGAGATTTGACCCTAATACACAATCCCACATTTAAGCACTGTAGTGTCCCCAAAACCATAGATTTGTTTGATTTGTACCAGATTTGGTCACTGTACTTGCTTCTTAATTATGTTGAAGTCAGAGTTATATGATTAACTCGCAATAATCTAACACATTCTGGTTAATCCAAACTATTCTGACAACAACAATCCTTTTAAAAGTTAGAGTCAAAATATGAATTCCATAAACTCTGCTCCGACTAGAGCCATAATCATATGACAACAGGTCCTGTGTATATTATTGTCTCTAACACAACACAAATACATACATTGGCTGCTATATAGGCCACAGAGACCTTGAAAAAAGTAGAGGCTTATAGTCCAGCAAGTTCTGTAATCACAATTTGTGTAGTTTTCTTTCAAAATGTCCCAATTGAATGAATCATAAATTGTTGTTGCCTATTTTGCTACACACTATTTACAACCCTCCATTGTATTACCATGACAACTGGATTCCTCTAAATACACTGATGTCCAATTCTGTGTTATCCCAAATATTTCCCACTTTATCAAACCTGTAAAACAATAAAGTGAAGAAATTTATTATGGAGGAAAAAACGTAGTAATTTCAGAAACAATCTTTGGCAACTATTCTCTATATACTTCTCAGAACAGACTCACACATTGCTACAGCTATCTCAGCTTTCCGTGCAGATTTACAGACCATTTCTTCACAGACCCTCGTTGCAATCACTGGATAGCCTCCCTGCACTACGCCCCCATCTCATTACCTCATTGTAAAACCACTGATTTTTTAGGGGGCTGCAAGTCTCTGGCATTTGACAAGCCGGAGCTCAAACCACCTCGGCTTAAGATTGACGACCGCGGAACGTTCTCACCGTGTCCTCGTGTTCCTACGTTTACGGCCCACTTTGAACTTCACTCTCGGTGTCTGTTCCCGTAGGTGGCTGATTACGGGGACGGAGGTGGGGCTGGTGTTGAAGGCTGCTGCTGTGCTTCATCTATTGGAGAGGACGGGTATTTCCTGTAACCTGAATCCGTATAGTCATAGAATGGGGGGGGTAAGGGGGTCTTTGGGGGGTGGGAGGAAGTGACAGAGTGTGGGCTGAAATCACTTCCAATGCATCACCGCTGGGACTGACCGTAAACGTCTCAAATGTTATGACTTTTTATATATATATTTTTTTGATTGCACGAATGTTTGAATGGATTTTATGTGATTTTATTGTCTTGTAAAGGGCTCTATAAATAATAATGTATTGATTGATCGATTGAAGACGTGCAGTGTAGGTACAGGTAAATCAGATTTGACGACACAGCAAATATGGAAGATAAACATAATGCTTTACGTGACTTGAGGTCTGAAATTTGAATCTATGTTTGTGACTATTTTTTGGTGATGATTTAAGCCTGTTTGGTTCCTTGTTTAAGTACCACATTTGTATTGTCCTAACAGCAAGAGTCTTGTAAAAGGAACAAGTTTTCTTCATCTTATAAGAAGTTCCAAGTTTTCTTTTGCCTGGTTGTGCCCCCTGTGAGTCACTATTTGACGCTTTGAGGCTGAGAGCTGATTGGCTGAGTGAGGGTGGTCCACTCTTTTTCACTTTTCTGTCTCAAAAAGCTGATGTGACAGAGGCCAAACATACGTTGTGAGAACTATTATAAAAGAAACTTGTTTTCTAGGAACTACTTAAATCGATTACAATATTATTATTTTTGCGGTTGGAAAAGGTGAGATACATCTTTGAACAAATAAAAGAATCTTGAACTAAATTAAACAAAAATCAAACTAAATCAAGTTTTGAGAATGATGGTCAAAAGTTTAAATGCACTGAGAAACTATAAGAATTGTCCAGGGGTAAGAGAATGGAGCTGCAAAGTGGGCGGGGCTTTTTGAGTTCCAAAAGTAAAATTCCTCATTCGAAAATCCCCATAGGAGTTTTGAAAAATCCAAATATCAAAGGTTTGAAGATGCGGCGAAAGCTCTCTAGCAATCTGGGAACTACATTTAAAGTTTCTAAAACATTCTCTAAGTATAAATATAAGTCTTGTGGTCATTAGTCGTCAGATCTCTCATCATCCCAAGCAAGTTTTCAATCTGATATAAGCTCCACCCACCCCCACAGCCGTAGTCCCACTGTAACAAGTCCCAATGGGTGATTCAGAGCAATGATACAATAACTCCTATGTGTGAAGCATCTCGTAAACAATGAAATATAAACATGTTTTGATCCGCCAGCACCTCCTCCACTTGTCCGAGTGTGTAAACGTATAGTAATGCTTAATGAACTGCATATAACACTGCATTTGTATCAGTTATGTAGGCACAAAAGTTCAGTATGACCTGAGCAATGAACAATCAGAAAAACAAAGTCTGCTGAATGTCACCATCACAGTCGTTATCAATGGACTTGCAATGGCCTCCTCTATCTCCCGACGGGTTATCGCTGCGGTCAGAACGCCCCGAGCATTTTTAAGCTGAGGTTGGGGCATCATGAAGCCCAGGAGATGGCAGCACTGTGCTCCTTGGCCTTCATCCGCAGCGCCGCTATACTGGAAGACTTGCGGTCCGGGTCCACGTTGAGATCGTAGCCGTTGAGGCCCCCTGTCATGGCGGGCCCACCGAAGAGGCTGCCCATGTGCGTCTGTCCCATGTGACTGCCGCCGGGGCTCGGGACGCCAAGGAAGTCGGGCACGCTGCCGGGGGCGTGGGGGTGCGGGGGCATGCAGGAGGTGACGGTGTCGCAGGGGACCACGCAGCCGGGGACGGGGGAGGCGGCGCTGGTGCTGCTGATCCATGATGGGTTCTGGATCTAAGAGGGAAGATATAAGATTAAAATTCATAGCCCTTTTCTGGACACCCAAAGACGCTTTACAGAACATACAAACATAAACATTGAAGAACAAAATTAAGGAAAAGCAAAATGAAACAGGTGGGTTTTGAGAATTGATTTAAAGTTCTCTTGTGTGTTGAAATGGTTTAAAGAGATATGACAGGTATCCAATACACAATCCCACATTTAAGCACTGTGTTCCATTGTGTCCCAAAACCCTTGTTTAGATTGATTAACACATTTTCAGAGAATGTTCTTCAGATTATATACAGACTCATAAGTGAACTGTGACAGGTGTGAATAGGCCCCGATTTAACTAAATGCATATTATTGTACATATTTACACTACATTTTCACATTTTATAATCACTTCCTACTGCAACTCAAACGTCCATTCTTTTTCTTTATATTTTTTTACTTTGCAAATCTGCTCTGGAGATAAAGAAATATATATTGGGACTAAAGTACGGCTAAACCTCGAAACTACATCTGGACCAGACCTGGACTAAAACAGGACCAAACCAATTCTCTGTGGGATCAAAACAGGACGAATGTGAACGAACCAAATATCGTCAAAGCATTGATGATGCAGACATGAAACTATGTGTTTGGAAAATCAAAAGTCTTTCCTGAATAGTTCATAAAGTCCTGAATCAGCTGCTTTGATAATATTCGATCAGGTGACATAATACATATTGATTTGAAAGGTGTGTTCTGTCACAGGTGTCATTGAGCATTTATATGTATGTGGTGAATATGACTATAACCGATTTTGGCCGAAACAAGGATGAATGAAATTGAATTGAGTCTTGAACTTACACTAAAACTGTTAGCCGATACCTGTGCGTAGTTGTCAGGCCGTGCGAGCAGAGGCAGTTCGTAGGCGGTGGAGAAGTGAGTGCGGACCTGCTGCATCTGCCCAAAGCGCTCCCTCTTCCTCCATTTGGCTCTGCGATTCTGAAACCACACCTGCAACCAGAGCAGAGGCACCCATCAGAAATGCAAGCAAGCTACATTTACAACAGGCCTGTAGCAGTATTTGATTTGAAGATTTTAAAAACAGGAAAACTTTACACTTTCTAATGTGATATAAAGCTTCAGTCTTCTTTGTTATGTGTAAATATGCACAATAACTGCCTCCTCCCTGGATGTAAAGTGCCCAACAGAGTTTTTCTGTTTGTTTGTTTGTCTTTGAGCAACACAACTCAAAAGGTTATGTGCGGATTTGGACCAAATGTTCAGGAAATGTGCGCAATGGCCCAGTGAACAACTGATTCCATTTTGGAGGTGATCCGGATCAACATCTGGATCTGCAGGATATTTCTTTTAAGGAATTGAACAACAGAGGTCTGTGTTCTACGAGAGGTTTTTCCAGTTTCATCTAAAATAATTGTATGTGCAAAACTAACACTGAGGTGTCATTTCATGTTATATTTTGCATATTTTGCTGTCTTTGGGGTGAGAGCTGATGTGTGAGGGTGATTCTCTCTTTTTCACTAGAAAAGAAAATCTCAAGATATGACAGAGGTTAAAACTACACGCATGTGCAAGTGATAAACCCAAGTGATAAAAACTGTTTTGGGATTTTATTACACTTTCTCTATGGTTTGAAAATTTGAGTGTCAAATTAAAGCTGACACTCTAGCTTTAAGTTGAAAAACACTGTCAGATCAGAGCAGGTGTTACGATGCTATTTTGTGTGTATGATGTGTATTATATGTGTGTATTGTCAGTGTAGAGAAGAGCAGCACATCATGGACTGGGACGATTGCAACATTACAGCTCAGTAGGATCTGCAACCCTGACCACATTTCCAGCCAAAACCTGGAACAGTCTTGCTAAAAAGTGAGACAGGCTTCTACTCTGACAATGTTCCAGTCCAGGTTGGAAAAGTGTATATCGACATCTTTTATACGTATCGCTTTATGTTTATGTTGATTTTACTTGTTTGATTGGAAGGCTTTCTCTCTTGCTTGTCCTTACATTTACAATTACTCCGGAGATCTCTGTAATACATATGAGTATTTATAGCTTCCCACTCTGGCCATCAGCTCACAGATATTCATTACAGTATTATGCCGGTTCTGTGATGACAGCAGTCCAGAGCGTTGGAGGCCTATGGAGCCAAACTGTTGCTCATAAAGTGAAGAGCAGGAGAATAAATAGTGGTGCAGGTTTAGGACTTTGACGTGGCCTTTAAAGTGAGTCTCCCTGCGCTCCTCCCTTTGATTCTGCAGCTCTGCCTCCCTTCTGGCTGCCAGCGCCGACAGATCCACATCTGGGGCCGTAGCTGTCCATAAATCACAGCGGAGAGGTGCCTTCTCCCCCACATGCACACGCACAATGGGGAATCCCTCGAATTATTGATGACACCAAAACGTACGAGATTTTTGAGGGTTAATAAATCGACTATGCTTGCTCTATGCTTGTTTTCTTTGTGGTTTGTGTTTGTGTAAATATTGTGTGAGTAAAGTGAAGTTGTGAGGTGTATCTTATGCCTAAACGTTGGACACGCTGCAGTCCACACCTGCTGACAGGCCAAGTGCAGGAGCTCACGTCTCGCTGACACTGGAGCAATAGAACAAAATGCCTCTATAAGTTTGACCGGAAAAGTACACTGCAAAAAATGATGAAAAATAAGTCAAAAGTTTTCTATCTTATTTTGAGCACATTTTTACTGCCTTAAAACAAGATTTGTCAATGGGACAAAGCAAAAGGATCTTGTTATAAAAAGAAACAATTTCTCTCTTGAAATGAGAAAGTAAAGCCACAGTTCTTGCAGTAAGACTAAATGGCTTTTTCCCTTTGGCAATTCTTGTTTTAAGACAGATTAATAAAAAAAAAACCACTTGATTCAAGCAATAATTACTTCATATTTGATTATCCCGAATAATGTAATTATCATCACAATTATCTTAAAAAATTGATCTAAAGAATAGGGAAAGTTTAGAAATGCAATAATATGAACACACCGTACTAGCTCTTCGATTGTCATTGATGAAGAAGTACTCAGTTATATATGATTGGGCCATTGAAGTAAAAGTACCAATACTCAAATAAAAGCCTTAAAAATGCAAGCATCAAATGTGATTGTCAAACCGGGCTCAAGTCTGAAGTTTTGAAAAGTGTGGTAAATATTCAGACTGAAATCAATGTGTGAGACAGTGAGGAATAACTTTGGACTCCTGCAAACTATCTATAATGAACTAATGTGTACTGTTAAACCGTAAATGCATCAGAAGCCAAAACTTTGAAGGTACAGAAGTCTCTAACCATAAAGGATTACTCTTGAGGAAAGTACAAACATTTATAACCCCCTGTAATCATTGTTCCTTGCTGTTGAAAGTATTTTTTGGAACCATGGCAGTAATAATGTTATTTGGACAGTGACTTTGAGCCCGCCCTCGACTAAGAAGACAGAACTGAATGGTTAAATACATTTTCACATCTTAAATTATTAGCTATTGTGTGTTTTTTATCATAACACACTACATTGTGCAAAGTGGCAACAATGAGTCTTTTCATGCCTGTATTTGTTCCCTGATCCTCTCCCCATGAGCTCCACAGACAGTGATGTTCAAAGCAGACAGCGTCCGTCTCCAGAGCAGAATCTGAACTCGGATCCAGAGTTGATTCCCAGCCTCAATCAGCCTGTGGTTTTCTCAATCCCTCACATGCAATTTCCCCTCAGTCAACCTCCTCCAATCCCCTGGAGACTCCGACACAATGAACTTTAATGGCCCTAATTTTCAAAGTCACTTGAAGAATTGGAAACTCAGTCGCAACTCATTTCACAGCACGGTATGTGTTTAGTTTATACTAGTTACAAAACAAATGACGTGTTTCTAATTGGTTTGGACGAAAACTGATTTTATGATTGAGTACATTCTTTGAGCCATTTTTTTTGCTAAAATATTTGAATTTTGATCACACATTGTTTCACCATAGTGCTCTGATTGAAGTGATTTGCCAATTCTAAAGTGGCCGAGATTTCCCCGTAAAGAGAAAATATAGCTCCTAAATCATTTTGTCAACGCTTGTTCAATTGTTCCTCAATTGAAATCTAAGAATCTTTAAAATTCACTTGTTGTACTGTAATACACACATCTGTTATTGATAACTGTAAAAAGCAGTCGTTGAGATCATAAACAAAAGTTCACAATGTCTTGTGTGTATTTAAATGTATTTGTTTATTGTTTGTTTGTTTGGGACGGTGCACGTTAATGAACACACCTCTAATAGGGCTAATTTGCGCCCTTTGTCAAACAGTCACACAATTAACCCTAAACTGTTGTGCATGTTTTTACTGGTAGCGTAAAGCGGAGCACCCGGAGGAAACCTCCACAGACATGGGGAGAACATGTAAACTCCACATAGCAAGGCTGAACGGAATCGAACCCAGAACCTTCTTGCGGTGAAGCACAAGCGCTAACCACTGCTCCAGCCTCTGGGACATGGGAATAACTTCATTTAATGTGAGAATAGTGTAATGTAATCAAAAACATGTCTTTGATAAAAGAAGTCAATTTCAGGATGGATTTAATAAAGACTCCAAGATATCTGTGTATTGTTTTGAGAAATTGTTTTATCAAGCTCAAAACTTCAGCCCAAATAAGGACTTTTCTTGGATCATGTTTTTGGAAAAGCTTACGTCAACTGCAACTTGTCATCTGTCTCCAAATTCCTCTCAGAGCGGCGACAGCAGGACAGCCTCGCGGAGTGTAAACTGATCCCAAAGTTTGTGACTCAAAGCCCAAAGTCAAGGTGAGGGGTCGCTGGCCTCTGAATTATATCATATGTTTTAAGGGGGTCCCAGCTTGTGTAGTTGGCCCCAAAGGATTCGTCCATTCTACTCCTTCTAAGGTCGTAACAACAGAACAAGTTGTTTTTAAAGGACACGTATCATGGTATTATTGATAACTTTGTATTCATCCACATGACTTAGATCATTATTATCGCAACGTGAAGCTAAAAACAGCTCAAAAGTGCGGAATAAGCCTTAGTTCTGTTTCAGCAAAGCTCGTCCTGGATTTTGATGAATGTGTTTTGAATGCCATTTTTAACATGTATGTCCTCGAGTCACAGGTACTTGGAAAAAAAGAAAAAGTAAAAGAGATTAGGGTGCGGATGGCTGAAAGGGGAAATGGTCCTTCTTTGATTAAGATTAAGAGATCCAATAATCATCCCACAGTGGGGAATCACACAACACAAGTAAAATAACAATATCTCTACATCAAAATAAAATACAATAAAATCTCTTTAGCATTAAAAAAGAAGCAAGTATAAATTCTCTTGCGCATGAAAAGTAAGCAAATCTAAAATCTACAACTTTAGCATAATTGAGAACTTGGGGTAAACTGGCAAGTGAATACTGTACGAGCAAGGTTAAAAGTTCATGATAGTCCGTTTTCCCTTTTTAATTCCAGGATGTCCTCCAAATAAGCTGATATACTACTTCAGGTTCAATCATTTTTAATTACGTCAAATAGCTCATCCCTCTGTCTGTCTTTCTGTGACCCCAGCGCCGTGTCTCCAGCCGCCCCCTCCTTTTAAGTCACTCGGGGGAAGTGGGGATATTGGAAAGTGAGATGGGAGAATGTTCAAACTGGAGCTTGTTTTCATTTCATGTTTAATTTCCTGACGCCTAAGCCCTTAGCTTTCCGCGGCTAACCCTCCTGACCTCTCCAAGGCGTGCAGACGAGACCAGCCTCTCTCACACAAACACACACATACACACACACACTGCACACAAAACACTGTCATTGACGACGTCGTGGCTGTAATCTGAAAGTTTGTCCACGCTAAATGCTTGGTCTGCTCTCAAACACTTACAGCAGGCTCAGAGTCAATAAACAGCCAATTAAAACAAAAGCAAGATAAACAAAACATGTGCAGTGGTGGTGTATCTACTGTATCATGTTTCTCCAGCTTTGGCACAAAGATCATTCACATGTTTCCACACATGTATTTGTCTCCAATTCCCCACGCGATACATGGGATTAAAGAGTTATTACCTCATTATTTAAAGTCGCACTTTGTTATTTTTTTGTGGTTGTGGAGGAAAACTTGCTGCTGGTGCGTTGGAACATGGTTATGATGTGATCTATGGTGGTGGATGGTGAAGGAGCAGGTGCCAACAACACTAACATTTTGAACATGGATTTCAGAAGTTTAAGATCAAATTTAAGATTCATAATATTGCTCAGAACGTATAAGGATGAACAACCATACAGCATACAAAAAGAACATGATATATTTTATTTCAACGTAACCGTTTATTAATGGTTTCCTCAACCATTTGGTGGATCTCTTTCTCAGTCACTATATCTACTTGAAGCTTGGAACTGAAATCTACCTCATTGGGGCATGTCTTTCTGTTGATTTTAGGCGTTTTTACCATAAGACGGCATCCCAACCTTTAATCAAAGAGGTAGATCAAAAAACTACGGGTTCAAACCAGATGTATTTGTGTTATTTGGGCTCCTACATCTTTCTCCTCATTGCTGTCTTCAAGGAGTGAAAATTAAAGGGTTAAAAAATGGTCAATTTGCAAAGATCTTGTCGTCTGATTTATTCTTGATGTGTCTCAATCTTTCTGCTAAGGGAGGATACAAGTTAGGTGCTCCAGCTCTAATGGTCTTGGGTGCATGTAGTAGTTTCCATTTACTGCTTACAATAATAATACAATCATTGCGACAGGAGGAAAGTCAATCTTCCACTAAACAGGCTATCTGGTTTACCTTTAAGATTAACTTTCCAAAATAAACAGCAGCGTATTCCACAAATTATTATTATTATTTATAGACATGTGCAAGGTGGGTGGATTTCAGAGATTTGCGGCGCCTATACAGTAATTGCTAAAGACGTTGACAGCATACGGCAGCTTACAGACCATTAAAGAGCTTTATTTATGCTCCAGAGCTGCTCGGGGCCCGGAGACGCGGAGGGAGCAAGGGACTTCAGAGTGCAACGGCTCCAAGACCGGCCTTTGAAGTCCAACCATCTCACCTCATCGCTGTCATGGACCGGCCCGATTGATAGACTGGCTCACGAGTCACTCACACACCACGCCGCCCTCCGTAAAAAAAAACTAAAAAAAACTCAAGGTTCAAGTCTGAGCGAACAGAACTTCATAAACTAGTCACGGCAGAAGTGATTACGGCAAACTGTAGCGACTTTATGAAGACATTTATCATCAAGCTCAGAGTGAAAGAGAAAAGCCTTGACACTGGCATTTGGAGAGAACACATCTGTACCGCAGAATCCAGTTGTTTGTGAGTAAAAAAAAAAAAGGCTTTAAGATCTCTTGCCAAGCTCGGAGTGCCCCAACTACAATTGCATATCCCTGGACTTTGTCGTGATGGACCTTCAGATGAAATTGGGGGCTTTAGTCTTGATTGCGTGCATAGTTTTGGGGTATGATTTCGAAACGTTGGGTCAAACCACACAGTGACTCAACATAGTGGGCTGCAGTGTGGCTGTCATGTGAAGAACGTAATTATATTCATCTGGGAATAGGGCTGTGTGAACGCAACATGAATGCACTTATTTTACTGTACCACCACAAAGCACAGAGCAGGTTTGCTGTCCCTGACTATGTCTCCAACTCGGCCTGGAAATTGAAGCTGGCATCTCAAAGTGTTTTTTATAACATTGCAAATAGCCCCGATGGCTTGTCTTTTTTTTTTTTTTTCCATATGCTTTTTCCCCACAGAGCTTGCTGCATGCTGTGGTGGAGTTACAACATGGAGGCGCTGGAGAGAAACCCTTGAACTTTGGCCCGCCACAGAGCCTGCAGCGTGTACGAGCCGAAAGCCGAGTATTCCCAACATTCCCACTCCCATCCACAACTGGTGAGCAGAGGAGATGCCGAACAATGGGATCTGTTATGTGCTGTTCCCAGAGTTTTACTGACAGTGTGCCAGACCAGCTCTCCCTCTGCGTCAGGACCCAGAGCTTGTACACATGCAACCAGGCTGCGCTCAGGAAGCAAAAAAAAAAAAAAAAAGGCTTTCGAATGTTGTTGAAGGTCCAGTGTGAATTTCAGTTTTAAGTGAATGTAGAAGGCGGAATGTTTGTTCGTATAGTAAGCTATTTATACATTGAAACAAGCTATTCTTATGCTGGTAATAATCCTGGATCAAAATCTAAAGCTGAAATGCTGTTTTGGTATATTTTCATTTGCGTTTCTTAGACCTTTCTTTCAAACCGCCACTTTCTTCATTGCCAGTGTGCGTCACTACCTGTTCTCCATGTCAGGGTCAAGAAATCAAACACTTCAAAATCAAACATGTGGATTTCTACTATGTGCACTCTTTCACCTTTCAAGTGGTGTAAATATTTCCCGCCAGAGTATTCTGTGTTTACAAGGCTGGCCAGTTTATTCAAAAACTGTTTCTACAAAAAGTATAACATCCTGCAATACGGCCATAATGCACTGGAGGGCACTGGAGAGTAAACAGACAAAACACGTTTGTATGTGCTTATAACTACTTTTTAACACAAATAGAGAAATTCAATTCAATATTTTTTTAGTGCAGAGCTAAAGCAGACACACGTGCACACACAAACACAAGCACTCATACACAAACTTCTTTCTATAAATGTGGTACAGACATTCTCCTGTTTGTCTGGTCTAAAAAAGCGACATCAGTACAACTTTCAAAACAAGACATTAAATTGAGCAAGTATCCATACTTTATTTATTTTACAAACAACTATAAATAAACATTTTCGAAAAGTATTTCCTGAGATTTTTTTTTCTTATTTTTAAGTGATAGCTATCTCTGATAAAGGCTGATCATTTGTGAGTGCCTGAATAATCACTCTTTTCTAAACTTTGCAGAAAAGTTTGGCCTCCGAAACAGCACAGATCAATTTTCAATTTAATTTTTTTGTATCAATGACCCAGTGTAAGAGCTGGCATACCTGCACGCGGGCCTCGGTAAGGTCGGTCCTCAGAGCCAGCTGCTCTCGTGCGTACACATCTGGGTAGTGTGTCTTCTGGAACACCTTCTCCAGCTCCTCCAGCTGGTAGCTCGTGAAGGTGGTGCGGTTGCGGCGCTTCTTGCCCTTGTTGCTCTCGGCTTCGCTCTTGTCCAAAGGGCTGGACAGGTCTGACCCGGGCCTCTCGCTGGGACCCTTCACGGAGTCCTTCAGGGTCAAGTAGCTGCTCTCCATCCCAGACGCCTCCACGCTGGGGGTCAGCTCAGACTCACTCAGGCCACTGCTGTCTTTGCCTGGTCGCACATGGAAAGGGGGAAGTACGAGTTATGCAAGGAATGAAATAATAATAATAATAATGCATTGGTTTTATATGGGGCTGTTATGGACACTGAAAGACGCTTCATGTCATTATTCTTCCCCTCCTTTCACAGTGGTGATAAACTACTAATGTAGCCACAGCTGCCCTGGGGCCCACTGACAGAAGCGGGGCAACCAGTATGTGTCAACGCCCCTTCCGACCTCCACCAACCATTCACACACACACATAATGCTAATATCGTGTGGTTAGGGTTAGGGTTACAACAGCTGTTCAGAATATTTGAGTTGCCAACAGCATATTAAAATTTCAAACTATTATTAAGAAATACAACATTAAAACATCTAAAAGTAATTGGTTCATAGGATAGGGAGGTAACCAGTAAGTTTTAAGTCTCTAAATCTGAATATAACCAAACAAAAACAACCTTAGCTTCTGCATCTCAGCACAAAAATAGGATGATTTCTTCTGACTTCTCCTCGGGGTCAAAAGCATCAAAGGTAACAAATTCCATCCTCTACATAATATTTGACAAATATTTTTTGTTTCTCATTCGCAAAACTTTAAACAACTCCAGCCTTTGCATAAATGTCCGCGTCAATTCTTGCGGATAACACAAGTCCCTGCTCCCCGTCACCATCCAGTCGACATGAAAGTCCCAGTCTGCAGCAGCCCACAGCGTCCCAAATGCTTTCCTGAACGTTCAAAGGCCTCGTCTCGTTCGCTCGGCTCTGTTTGAAAGACCTGTCACTCCACATCGGCCTGACCTGTGCCACAACCCTGACGCGGCTGCCACTCTCTGCCCGGCTGCCCCGCCTCTGCCCTGCTCTCAGTCACCGGGCCTGTAACCCTATCCTGCCCAGGTCTGTGTGTGTGTCTGCCCTGTCGTGTAAACAACATTGCGACTGTCACTTCCAATTTGCGGGCGTGCGTTCTGCGACAAACCTCACTCAGAAGCTGTCGGCGCGTGCAGGTTTTGGATTTGAGTGAGGCGTGGAGAGAGCTGTCCATTTTGCACTGATAAACAAACTGTGGAGTGGGTAAATATGCAGCTGGGGTTGGTAGAGCAGGCACTCTCAGTAAAAGAAGGGTGACTCTATGAGCTCATGGATATAGGGGAATTGACATATGTATGTGTTGTTCATCTGCTGAAATCAATATCAATTTGTTTTCGCCACATTGAAATAAAATAATTGCAGACTTTGTAGGTGGTTTAATGAGTGTTTTTGTTTTTTATATGTTGGAATTGGCATATTTCAGGATAAGCGTGTAATGTTTTCTGCAAAGTAGGCCTCAATGAATGTACAAATAAATTACAAGTTATAGGTTGTCACTCAATGTGGCAGAAGTGTAAACAATCTTGCTATATATGATCCGATGGTTTAGTTAAAAGTCAAGAATCTAAGCAATCACAATTCAAAACAAACTAAATTTGGGCTGTTGTGTACATTAAATAGCTTAATAATATTTTGATAATTATTTGGTTTATTTGGTTTATTGGAAAGACTCAAAAATACCTGGCATAAGACAAAGAAACCCTCATCAATAAAAATAAAAAATGGACAATGTATGGTTGAGATAAATTGTGTAACTAGTCAACTACAAAATAAAATAATCTATAAATGGCACCCCCTGCAGGACACTCAGTCTGCCCTGGAGAGCAGCTTCAGTGACAGTCTGAGCCACCCTCGCTGTGTGAAGGAGAGGTTCCGCAGGACTTTCCTTCTTGCATCTGTCAGACTGTACAACGAGCAATCAAGACTAGTCAAGACTAATCAAGACACTGCCAACCTGACCTCACTTTACGTAGTCGCTTAGCCTAACATTGATGGTTTCTTATAGTTTTGTGGGCAATCCGAAGCCACAAATTCCACTTCATAAAACATGTTCTAAAGGTAATTGTAAGAAAATCAGATATTCAGCAGTTCCCTGTGGCGCCTGTCCCGAAGAAAGACATTAATGTAGGCCCACAGATCAGCAGCTGGAGGTGGTGACCCTGAGCCGCCGTGGCCCACCTGTCAGACCCTTTTACAGTCTGTGAGATGTGCTGGCCCTCTCCCCCTCCACCTCCACTCAATATGTTTGGCCCTGGGCACGTAAACTGCAAAAACGGGTCATGCTAAAGTTCCTGCTTGCATTTGCATTAGAAAATTCTAGAATGCCTGTGAGCAAGGCAAGTTTCCTGTCAGGCAGAGCTTTTTTTCTGCTGGGGTCAGAGAAGCCAAAGGAATGTTTAAAAAGATATATAGTGATTTGGTCTGCTATATTTTTGGATCATTATACAACGTTTTGAAAGTTTTAAATCTCAATATTGGTCTAAAATGACAGCTGGGATGTCTAACTTTTTAAACCTCAAAAATAATTGGTACGATGCAATAAAATCCATGGAATGAAGCATGCATTTTTGGCCTCTGTCACATCTTTATATCAGTTTTTTCAGACAGAAAAGTGAAAAATGCTCAATGAGCCAATCAGCTCTCAGCCCATAGTGTCAAATAATGACTCTCAGGGCTCTTTCTTACATGTTTGCAAAAGACTGACTTGTTCGCGACATGCTACTTTTTACAAGTCTGTTTCTGTTGGGACAAAAAAAAAAAAAAAAAAAAAATACCCTAATTTAAATAAAACATAAAAATAACAACAAAAGTGCAGACAAAGCACAAGTTACGGTGGTTATATTTTGGTTATTTCGGTGTCAAATAATTGCACAAAAAAAAAACACTTATACATGAATCACCGTGTAAACATAATCTGAACTACCATTATACGGTTGAAAGCTGTTAAAAGTCCATTTTGTAGAATACATACACTTTAATTTACACTGTAATTGATACCGATGAGGGCTTTCAAACTATGATGCCAGCTTTCTGAATTCCCCTTTCCCTGTCACGCTAACGGCTGGCTCCTTCACCACAAATATCTGCTCTCATTGCTGCATGCTGAGCTGTCTTCTGCTGTTTTCTACACTTTTCAACACACTTCTTTCTTATGGCAGCCAAGATTCCACTACACTGGCTCCAGCTCGAGGTTTCTGGCACTTTTTTTTCTCCAGCCATGATCATTAGAGATGTAAATGTACAGAAACATCACAGGCTGATCCAGCAAATTTGCCAGAGTTACTTTCTGACAATACGCAGGCCTCTTCAGTTAGCCCAGGTCACGTGTTTACTAGGGTCAGCAATTTAATCACCACTGAAAACAGAGAGAAAACATCAAAGTGTAATTTAACTGGTTGTAAAGCAACAGGGCACCCTCCATTTTTTTATGGAAAAGGACAGGGAGGGTCAAGTGAAGGCAAATAAAAAGAACACTATAAATTAGTAACCTGGGGAAGGGTTAATGACCAAACACTAAATATGGAGGGGGAATGCTTTTAAATAGAGTGCTTGAATCGGAGAATTGTACTCCCACAGTAGACGACAACCGATTAATCCAAAGTGTGATATTTGACGACAATGTATCCTTCTTTTCCTCTACTTGGTTTGGTGGGATAGAATTCATATTGCATACTCAATACAAAAATTGTAGCATTGTCTAACTAATTAGGAATAAGATGAATATATAAAGATTATATAATTTTTTTTTTTTTTAAAGAATGTATATTTCTGATCATTTGGCATGTAAGTAAAGTCACAAGTAAGTCTTTTACAACAAGAATTTATTTATATTAGTATAAAATAGTTTCGCCCGTTGGCATAACTGACCAGTAAGATTTGCTGGAGGAGAACAATTAAATCACTGACGAGGCGTTTCAAGAACTGAATTTTGACCAATCAGGAAGCTCCGGGGATGCGCAGGGACGGGTCTAACCAGAGCTTGTCTTCAAAAAGTTTCCATCTCTCTTCACAGTTTAAAGTGTGACTGACGTTCACGTTAAGTAAAACATACACGGATATGCATAACATGGATACATAAAGGATCTGAAGTGCCCATATTACATTCTGCTATTTTAGTAATCAGAAATGGCAGTGTGTAATTGATGCTAGCGTCATTTAACTGGAAAAATCTCTGTCCATGATGTCGTAAGGATTCGTCACACTGAACCAAGTTTGAGTCATGGGACTAAAAGAGGCAAAGGAATGCCTTGGTGCTGGTCCCCATATCGATGTGGGTGGGGCTAAAAACAATTCCAGGTTTAATTTTTGAAGAGGATGGTTTTGCATAATGGTCTTTCATGATTTCCTCAACCATTTGGTGGATCGCTTTTTGAGTCACTATATCTACTTGAAGCTTGGAACTGAAATCTACCTCATTGGGGCAATACCTATCACATGGTTTTATGCACTTTTACCATCAAACTGCATCTCAACCATTTGGTATAATGGTTTATATAAATATAAAACTAGGGGTTCAAAAAAAAAATAATTCTATAATCAATGCTCCTATATCTTAGAAATTCAAGAAAAAATAACATTACTCTCTTCAAGGAGTGAACATCAAAAGGTTAAGTCAAATCTATATGTTTCAGTACATATTTATAAAGCCCTGTCAAACCTACTTTAAGCCAAACTTCCTGGACTATGCAAATGTGTGTTACATGATTTGAGCGACCACAGTTCACGTCCTGTACATGGGCTGCTGATTGGCCTCTACGCTCTTCCACTGCGCTTAGCCTTTCGACCTGCTCTTGTCTGTTGTTTCCTCGTAGAATAGATGGACGGGAGGACCCCAGATGTTTTGGAGGAGAGATCTATGCCAGCGGCTCACACAGGAATGCACATTCTCTGGGAACGCACAAATCTGCCTCAGCTTCTCCTGATGCATGACCTCACCGCTGTCAGATACCTGTCTCCTGTCAACGGGAACCCAAACAACTTTCTATTCACCGCAATCAATAATTGGAGATTAAATGCAACTGTAGTAGAATGTGCCATTATTTTACCTAAAGTTTATGTAACCCTTTCTGTCCTGCGTTTAGGCTTCGGTGCTTAGGAAATACACCTACCACCTATCCCCGCCCACTTCTCTACTGGCCTACATGCTTGTGAATTGGGGGAAGCTTTATTAATCCACAATTATTCTTCCAAGTTCAATAACTGTGTCCATAAATCTAAAAAGTGAATTATGTACAGGGAGTTTGAATGTAGCTATTTCTAAACGCTTGAATGAATACAAGAAAAAAGGGGGGAAAGGGTAGAGTCTATTAAACTATGTGTCCTGCTCACTTCTGGTCCTTCTCCTGAATCATTTTTTCTCTGATCAGACAAAAGGGTTCTCTTGGCGGGGCTCAGTCACCAAAAGAGATGGTTGCCACAAGACAGAAGCCCCCTCTCTCTGGTAATGACTTTATTGACATTAAATTTGATGTTCTGTGCTATCCTGGACCTGTGTGTTAAAACATGTATTTTCTCTGTGTGTTTTTATATAGATATGAAGTTAGAACAACAACAAAAACATTCAAAAAGGTAAATTTTGTCTTGAGTAAAATGCTTTTTTGTGTTTTTTGAAAGACAAGTTTCAAAATAATTACAAAAAGCAGAACAACTTAAAAAAAACACAACGCCTCAGCTTTAGGTTGTAAAATTATGTGTTTTACTCATATTTTACACTACTCGGAAGAACAGAATGATTTCCTGCATCTGATTTATGCACATATTGACTTAAAAATGACTGTCAATATGTAACAGCTGCCAACAGTCTTACTGCAGTACATAATGATTCGCCTCCATCTTTCTGTCACCGCAGCAACCACATATTGTCGCTGCTGATCATAGAACACAGACGCAACATGTTGGTGATCGTTGATGACTTCACCTTTAATATGTACTTTTTCTATTTTGACAAGCCTCTTTGAAAGTATTGCCAGAGCTCATGGAGGTCGTCTTTTGTTTTTCTGTGCCCTGAGAAAAATTGTTTTACATATCACAGGATGCTTGACGTGCCTGTCGAGGGAGGAGTGTCTGTTTGAGACTGGATTTATGACAACACTCAGATGGTTTTCATAAATGTGCTGAGGCCTACAGCAATATTTAGATCAACAATTATTATGAACCAATATGCAAAAGCTTTGTTCAAACTTCAAAGCTTAGTGCAGTGATGTTTTGGACGAAACTCGCACCTCACAAATCCAAAAGCAATATCTTTATATTATCAATCATCATTGAGAGACTGTGAAGCTGTCTATAAAGTCATATCTGAAAAAATGTAATAACATAGAATATATAAAAAGCAAAATAAATACATAGGTTTTTAATGTTGTGACATTTAATATTTTTTCCAGGTACAGCCTAAAAAAACAAATACATATTGTTCCTTCTCAAGTCGCACCTCCATGTGACTTGCTTATATGTTCAGAGAGTTGTAGAGTGAGGTTTAGTAAATCAGATTGACTGCATTTGGACATGAGGCGTCTGTATGAAAAATACGATATGAGTAAAATGCACATCTGTGTTAAGTTAATGTGTCTCTCCTGTGGTGCTGACCTGCATTCCTCTGCTCTCCATCAGAGCGTGCTCAGGTGGCTTCATCCTGCACATCTCAATGGGAATATACTCCAAGTGCAAGCAGGAATCACTTTTGGAATCTCAAAAGGTCTGCTGTTTAAGTCAGGACGCCTGTTTTAAATTGTTATTGTGTGTTTAAAAATTACAGTAAATAAACAGGCACAAATAGGCCAAAGAAAGTCGTGGTGGTTTGTGATTTGAGATTAGGACCAAATTATGAATATCAATAGTCGATGTCCTCTCAGATCTATGGAGTGGGGCCCAATCCGTACTCAACATGTACTGTAATTATAGATACTATATAAGAGAAAACAATATATCTCGGTCCTTCATAGAAGAAGTCACGTTGCCAAACAGCACAGATGAAGTTGCCATAGCGCGCGCTCCCATTGACTTTAGTCATCATTCGTGAGCCGTATATCTGCCACAGCAGACCACACATAAAAACACAAGTTTGTTGACGCCTGAGGCTTTGGCTGCAGCCCACAGGATCCTCCCGGAGCCACGGGCTTCATCTGGCTGCAACATTGTCGATTAAAAGCCCCGCGCGTCGCGGTTCTGGAGATGCTACGTTTTGACGCGTCTGACAGTCAGCCAAAACTGTTTATCCCAAACCAAATCAGATTTTAGGATTTAAAAATCAAGACAAGAAACGTGATAGTGCGAATAGTTACTGAGAAGTATAGGCTATGTTTTAGGTTCTAACCTATTTGTCAAACTCAAACAAAACTGGGCGATATTATACTCACAAATTTTGAATTAAAACGTGATATGTTTAGACTAACAATCTTTGAATTTAGAGCCATTAATCCGCGATGAATAAATGAACATAATCAACATAGTCGGTCTTTCAGCCTTCAACGCTTAAACCATCACTCTATAAAGTTATAGGATTACTTTATATTGTGTTGTATTTTCAATGTAGTGATATATAAAACTAGGTATTTAACAAATTATCAAATTATTGTATTTTTGAAAAAAAAATATTTTTAAATGTAGTTCCATAAGGGTTGACATTTTTCAGAAAGAGTACACAGAAACGGCAAAAATAAACAATAAAAATGGCCCTAATAAAATGCAAAAAAGAATAAACAGTATTTTAAGACAAATATTTCAAAAAATAAATAAATAGAGGGCTATTGTGTAAAGTGTATTTCTGTGCATGAAACACAATAGAGGCTAAATCATATTTAACCATGTTTAGAAAAACTCCAAATGCATGTCCTTGCGCACTTCCCGCACTACAAATCTACGTTATGTATATATAAGTATACAGACATTTGTCTTGAGGAGTAAACTCACCGAAGCAGGTCATGAGCGTGCCGTTGTGCGCGCTGTCCGTGTGCAGCTTGCCTCCTTCTGGCGGCGTCTTGCAGCCGGGTCTCTGCATGAAGAGCTGGTACTTGAACGCACCGTCCTCGACGCCATCCAGAGACACGCACTCCGACTGGAACGGGCTGCGGGACTTCTCTCCGTACGCCGGGCCCTTGGCGCCGGAGAGGTACGTGGGGCTGTACTTGGTGTCGGTGCTGGGGAAAGTCCTGAATGGGTTGCCTTGGTGCTCCCTCGCTGGCGCAGACGGACTATAATATGAATCCATCGATGTCATATCGCAGTATGAGACGCACGTATCTGCGTTCATACCTAAAGTGATTTTAGGGGGAAAAAAATCCACTGGGCTTGTTTCCCTCCCCTCAGAGAGCAGACTTCAGATATCCAAACCCTGCCGCTTTGACAGGCGCTCACTGACGCACCCCTCACGCACGCACGCTCTCACTGCTCAACATCTGGAGCTGGTTAAGAATGAATCAGATGTTTTCCAGAGACTGAACAAATGCTAAAAGCCCCCTGAAGGTTTAGCGGGGTAAAAAGAGTCTGAGCGGTGCCCTGCTCAACACTGAGGTGCGCTCTGGACACAGTGACAAAGTGCGTCTCTCGGCTCTGCGCGCTCTCTGTAGGCCACGGCTCCTCTCCACTATTATGCACTCAGTGGGAGGACGAGCTCACAAGGAGGACACAACACATGACATTAATGTAATTAGATCTGAATGCTGCGCTTTGATTCGAGTTCTGCTCGAAAGACCCACGGATTTTTACGTTTAGAGGATTCTTTGAATCTTACATTCAAACACAGGCTCAAAAAGGTGAGACGTTCGTGGATGTAATTTAATTCAAGGTATGCCTGCCTATAGCACTATGATTATTATTTTTTTGGTTTACCGAATTATTTTTGTGTTTAGACAAACGTAATAGTGTGCCATTACGTTTGTCGATATATTCTTTATGAAGGCCACATCAGAATGATTTGACGAACAGACCCTTTGATACAAAATAGATCTAGTCTATTTATTTTAGGAAACACCCCACTTTAATGTTTTTCCCCAAAGACGTTGTGCTGCAGGTGAGACAAGTTACGCATTATGCTGCCTCACTCAACCTAAATAACTCCTATTAAATTATGCACTACTTCAGTCATAATGACATTTGGAAGGAATGGCTTTCTCAACTAACAATAACACTGACATTTGCAAAGTACCTTCAATGCTCAAGATGCCTCGTCTTTAATTGAGATGAAATAAGATTATTAGTATTTAGGCAAAAAAAAAAAAAAATCGGCCTGCCCGCATTTTTCTCATATTATACAATCGATTGAAAAAATGAACGCATTATAACAGCGATTAGGATTTAGATTCCAAACGAAATCTAAATCCTGTGTTCTGCAGACTCCATATTCAAAACAATATTTAGCGCGTTCAAGACGTAAGGCCCGGCCGGTGATCAGAGAGCACTAAACCCACGTTAATCCCACGCTGCGTCTATAACCTGCTGCTGTAAACGCCTCTCGAAAAGCACCATAGTTTGGCTCTAACAGGTTTATTATAAGCAGAAGGCCATTGAACGCAACCTTATGAGGTGCGAGAACTGCAGACTATTATTAGCAGGCCTACAACATTCAATTAGCTTCCCATGTTCCAATCACTCACATTTACCAGTTCAAATAAAATGCTACAGCTGTTTAAATAAAACGGGCATTCTGGAAACAATAAATAAACACATAAATACTAGCCTAATAATAATATATTTTAAAAAACAATATGAGATGACATAAGCTGTGCGCTTATGGCATCTCTAGACATAAATTGTGTCCTATTAATTTACTGCAAATTGCCCTTTTGTTGTCAGTGATGAAATAAAGACGTGTTGTTTTTTGTTTATCCATTTTGAATAACTTAATAACTTAACTTTAAAATACAAATAAAACACATTATTCCTGTTGTAAGGCTGTTGGAGTCTGGGTGCTCTGCTCCTTCATGTCTCATAAAGCACAGTGAGCTCAGGCCAAGGCTCAGCTGTCATTGATACACATCACTCAGCCGTGGCGTGAGCGCTCACTAAAAGCCTGCACTAAAAGGCCGTGTCTGGGAGACTTCCAGCAGGTTCCTGTGCCGAGGGGCCGAGGTGAAGTTTGTGTTGGCACCAGGCTCCTGTCCATCTGCTCCTGGGCCCGTCACTGTCTCAGGAGGTCGACTGCTGGAGACTGGAGCTTCAGCTTCAACCTCGGGGCCTCATGGCCATTTTGAGTCAGGCTCTGTGAGTCTATGGTCAGCTATGTGTAAGATGGAAATATTATACAAGGACCTTTGCGGCTAAAATGCAATTGTGCCAAAGTAAAGACCCTGTTTATACAACCCCTTTTTTAATGCATTCAGATATTTCTGAAAGTTTCGCAAACATTTTTAAGAATTTATTCACTGTCCCATCCGCGCTTATGCATAAGAAGAGTAATGTCCAGTTTGTTCACAAATTATCCATTTGTATTGCCATTGTTTTATTGAATTACATACAATCTTGAATTATCAGGGACATGTCACATAAACCTTTCCAAATAAAACTGGAATAGTTTTAGAAAATGATCCATCTAAACTGATACATCCTAATTGTTTTATTTAATTGGAATTCCTTCGTCAATTACAATAATTGTGTTTTGGGGGTAACATATAAAACAAAGCTGAACAATTCCCCTCAGGTCGGAAGCTGCAGCATAGTTTTCCAGGTCTTTAAACTTTAACGGCAGCCTCAATGTTTTTTCTAGTGTAAGCATTTAACCTCTGCTGTAAACGCTTTCACTTCACATTTGCACCACTTTGTGGAACAGTTATTGCTGTATGTTAAAAATGATTACATTGATAGAATAAATGAATGCTTAAATATGCCAACATTATCATTGGCCAAGTTGTTTAAGGGAACGTTGTCACAACATCCACACCTCTCTGTCCCAGTTTCTTACTTCTGTCCAGTCCAATAACATCAGAAAACTGTAACATGATTTATTTTACGCTCCACTGCATTGAAGTCAGAATGATCATGCGACTTTAAAAGACATGTATAGATTTGTCCAAATGATGTCCCAGTGCTGTCATATGTCTTCATCCTGGCACAACCGCACCCTTTATGTTGTGTTCTTCAGAAAAAATAGCAGATTTTGAAGATCTGCATCGGTCCAAATGAGTTTCACATGAGCGGGGCACACACAGCATCAGCAGATTCTCTGATCAAATTAGGAGGAGATGAAAAAAGAGCCAGCGGTTGTACTGATGTGTAATTCAATAAACAGGCAGAGGAAGGCCAAACAGTCCCATCTCACAGCTCTATGAAGCCCTGTGCCTATAGTTAACTCCTGAAGGAGAATCTCTGAGGCCTGTCATACAAACATCAACTATAGCAGGATATAAGGAAATGTGTTATTGACAGTAGAGAAATGTTTATATTATATTCCACTAAAGCAGTCATTAATATAGATCTAAATTACAAACCAATGATTCAGTTGGAGTAATCATTTATTAATGTTTTTTAAGTTTATATAACATATTAGTAGACTGCATGTTCTGTGACATGCCAAATCTCAATTTCCTTTCATAGCATTTAAACCAGATATTTTATTGTAGTGTGCAACAGTATTCTAAAACTTGAGAATAATTCTGCTTAAAATGTGGTTTAAGTGTCATAAAGTGTTGATACTCTCATTGATGTTGACATTAATTTTGCAATATTTAAAGTTGGCACATGAATGAATGCAGAAGTCAATTGTGTTGATTTTGTAATAATTATTCCAATACAATATGATATCCTTGGGCCAATTATCTTGGGTCTGCAAATACGTACTAACTAACTGGATTAACACATGTTAAACGTAATCTAGATTTGTAGGTGACCCACAGACCGAGAACCATGACACAGACCAATATAGTTCCCTTGCGACGAGCATCTCTTTCCGTGTGTGTAGTTTTAATATATTCATGGGGGTGTCTCGCTGTAATAAAATCCAAACTGAAGCAGATTGTTAAAACTCACGACATGTGTTGGCTTCAGAGCGTTCTTAGGTGGAAACGTGTCCCACACAACATTTGCACCACGAGCTGATGTGTCTTCAGTCTGAGGAGATGATGAAGAGAATCATCTGCAAACACAAATACATCCATGAGCTGCAATCACTTTTTGTCATTTGACACAATCTTTTTGGTTTGATACATATATTTGGTTTGTCCCAACAGAAAAAAATGTGTTTGAGTTCCATTTTGTGAACAAATTAGACCACACATATTATGTTACTCAACTCAAAAACTGTATTGTCCTCAAAGGGAGAATTGTTTGCATGTGGTGCAACAATACAATACAATAATTACAGTGAGTATGGCACACAAACTGAGAGAGAGAAAGGTGATCTTAAAATGTGACAAAGGCCAAAAAAACATGCATATAAAAACTAGTGAAAGAACCAAACTGTTACTAACTAGGCACATGGATATTAGTTATTTTCTGTGGAATCAATCACTAAAGTTTACAAACTCAGATTTCCACCTTTTTCATAATATACCATTATTCCATAAACGCCACATCTCATAAAAAAAATTCGTAATAATGTTATGCTATGGTGGTATAGTTCCTAAAATGAAATGAATGCATATCACTTGAATTAGGCTTTTGAATAGTTTTTAAACATTTTAAAACATGGCTGCAGTGTTGTAATGCGTGATACCATCGTGATTTTTAATTTCAAGCTCCCAGTCCGTAAAAAGTTGATCCGTAATAAAAGATCAACTTTTAATACGTTTTTAGTTTGGTGGTGTCATTTCTCATTAAAATATATACTTATAAGTGTCACCTAATTTCCTAATTGTATGGTATTCATTCAAGTTAATTGCATTGCTCTAAATAGGCTATCAGGCAGTTTATAGATAGCAGGGGCAGAGATGGTGCCTTTATAGTGACATGAAAGTAAATATATCTAAAATACTAATAATTGCTATAGATAAAACCTAAATGACCAATGTGGGTTTGAATTCCCAAGATACACCACATCCTAACGCCTTGATACATTAGCTTAGTACATTAGCTTGTACTTTGATTGTCACACAAGGTCTCAGATGTGGAATGACCCATCCTGATCTACCCACAGCGTCTACAAGCAGGCCACAGACACGGACCCAAAATCCAAACAAAGTAAAGTTGAGGGGATCGGATCCACTCCTTCCATCTCGATAAAGTCCCACTTGCATTCCCTTTAAATGAGCTTCTGTGGGATGAAAGCTTCGTGTGAGCTCCTGGCGGGACCTCTGACCTGGGCTGTGTTTGTTCAGGGGG